GCCGCCCGACAGGGCAACAAGGAATTGGTGGACTTTGTTCAAGAGATGCGCACTCTCATTGCTGGGATGGCAGCAGATCCCATTCCGGAGGCGGTCACAGTGACCGTCTTGATAAAAGGCCTCCGCACTGGCGTGGCCAGAATGGAAGTCTTCCGTGTGTATCCGAATTCATTTAAAATAGAGGTGAATGAGGCATCGAATGCCGTATTCAATTTCAAGTCGGCACGACTTAGGTTGAAATGCACACTCCAAAATCTCGTCGAGCGGGTCTGTGCCCATGGATCTCAGCTATGCTGAGGAGGAGGGAGCAGAGCTTCGAGCTGCCGGGCAGCACGCAAGCACACGACGGTGTTTTGTCTGTGAAGACACACGTCACCTTCGGAACGGTTGCCCTCGGCGCAAGGCGCGTCAAGGCTCGTCGAGCCATCGACCCAATGCCTACCAGTGAAACGACACACCCAGCAGGCGCGGGGCGACCTACTGGGCAAGAACTGAGTTCTGTTGAGCCATAGGGAGGTAGAGGTCAACAGGGCCCAGCCCCGAAGACCTCCGTGTTCTTGAACACGGAACGTGTGTGCAAGCCGGGCTTGCTGGTCGTTGATGCGACCGTAAAGGGCTTCGAGAAGCCATGGAAGATCCTCATCGATTCCGGGGCGTCGGAAAATTATACTCGACGATCCACGATGGAAGGAGGTCAGCTGTATGCTGAGACGCTGAAAGCGCGGTTAAGTACCATCGATACTGTTCGTCTAGCGATGGAGACACGTATGACGGTCCCGAAGGTCCCTATGGACATCGGAGTCAAGTTCCTTGACTTTGATAGCGTGGAACGCTGTCTAGTCTTAGACTTGGATGCAAGGTATGACCTCATTATAGGAATGGCATGGCTGTAACACCATGAGCCATGGATTGATTGGAGGTCAAAGACCTTTGGCGCTACGCGCACTTCTCATGGGGGAGCTTTGGTGACCCATGAACCCACCTCTGCTAGGAGACAAAAGCGCTATTGGCGAGAGCACTGGACCGAGACGGTCAACGTGCTGGACATTGGAATGTCCGAGTTGGTGGACACCAACGGTGTATCGGGCAGGAGTCCCGAGCGTGGTTGGCGGGCTGATCGTGGAGTGGCACGTAACTCACTGAGTGCTGCTCAAGTTTCGGAGCAGTCGCTGCATGTCATGCGTGACATGGTCGGCCAAGGGCCGAGGCATCGCACGTGAAGTGGTAACCACTGAGCGCTGCTCGAGTATCGAAGCAGTAGGTGCATGTCATGCGTGACATTTTTGGCCAAGGGCCGAGGCATCGAGGGGAGGCCCCCGTGATGCACGTGAAGTGGCACGCAAAACACTGAGCACTGCTCAGGTTTGGGAGCAGTCGCTGCATGTCCTACGTGACATGGTCGGCCAAGGGCCGAGGCATCGAGGGCGAGGCCCTTCAGATGCACGTTAGTGGCACGTAAACCACTGAGCACTGCTCTCGTTACGAAGCAGTCGCTGCATGCCATTGATGGCGTGGTCGGACAAAGTCCGATGCATCTTGGACACGGTCCTTCAGATGCGCGTGGAGTGGCACGTTATCCACTGGACAAAGACTGCAGGGTTAGCAGCTCTTCGTCGGATTAAGTAGATAAGATCGGAGCTCCAAAGGAGCGGATGTGAGGGCGACATTAAACGACGCGGAATACGTGTTCACCCTGGTCAAACCGAGACG